TGCTGCTACACAACGTCAATGGTAGAGGTAGTGAATTTTTGTGGATGTGGTGCCAAACTATTGACGAGCTTTGTCCTGAATTGTGTCAAGGTTCTTGAGTATTGTTGGGGCTGCACTCATCCAGGCAAGTGGGGAGTATTCCATCACACTCCTGACTTGTGCCTTTTAGTTGTGGAAAAAATTACCTGATTGATTGTAAAGCATTTAGGGACATCCTAAGGTCATGAAAGTGTTACACAAATGCAAGTCTATCTTTCCCTTCCATCTATTATCCTCAAGGCTGTATCTTATGTGAAATGGTAAATTCCAACATTGCTCAAGTTGCTGATTCTTGGACTGAATTGTTCAAGTTGAGAATTTGACTACAACAGAGGTGGTAGAAACAATTCTGTGTGAATCTGTATCTCTCTCCTGTTAAATAAGTCACAACAGTCAGATTGACTGAATGTCTGGGCTCTGTTGGCTACAGCTTCAAGATGCCCTTAGTATTCAACGGCAAAACTCATGTATGAAGAGTCAGCACAGCTGAGGTACCTTGCCCCGAGTTTCACACAGTGAGTTGACAAATTACCAACACAGCCAGAGCAGGACTAAACTGACACAATTTACATATCCCTGCGAGAAAACACTGAGCATACCTGGAATGAGAGGTAGAGGAAGTTACAGAGCATTAAACAGAAATTAAGCATGACATTTACACATTGATGTTTATATATGGATGATCATTCTAAACAAAGGAAGACAAAGTTGCATTTTTTTAGATCTGCAATTTCAGGATGCCCCACAAAAGTTTACAACAAATAAAATGTTCTTTCTTTTTCGTGAAATTGAAGTAGGATTGTAATTTCTCAGGGCTTGAGTCTCAAGAAACAGGATGTGTGTGTTGTGATATAATTATAACTGTTTTCAATATTTAACTAGTGTTTTTTTAAGAAAAATCTTGTTTTGTGCAATGTTCTGTTGTTAAAGTGATTGTTCAGCGACACACTACCACATTAACAAATTGTAAAAAATAAACACATGGCCTATTTCATTTTGGGATCTGTCCAGTATTATAATCAGCTGGGCTCACCAAACCACATAATCTCTTTTTATAGGATTTTTTTTGAGGAAAAAATATTAGTTCAGCAAATGAAAGAATTCTGTTGGCCTCAGATCCTCAATTTAACATCTAAAAAGGTGAAGCTTCTCCTCTGCACTTACAGGTTTGAGTGTCTGATGACACAGTTCAATAGTCTGTACCAAATCACACACACAAAAAAATCTGCAGTGTTTGGAACTCATGAAATTGAACCAACTCGAGTCTCAGTCACCTCCCTCCTGGACCCCAACAAATACCTGGTAAATTCTGTTGTCATTCCTCAATCAATTTGGAGGCGTAGAGCCATACAGCACAGAAACAAACCCTTCAGTCCAACATATCTTTACCAACCAGATATCCAAAATTAATCTAGTCCCATTTGCCAACATTTAGCCCATATCCCTCTAAATCCTTCCTATTCATGTACCCATCCAGATACTTTTTAAATGTTATAATTGTACCGGTCTCCACCACTTCCTCTGGCTGCTTACTCCATACACGTACCACCCTCTGCATAAAAATGTTACCCCTCAGGTCCCTTTTACATCTTTCCCCTCTCATCTTAAACCTATGCCCCTCTAGCTTTGAACTCCCCTACCCTGGGAAGAAAGACCTTGTCTATTCACCCTATCCATGCCCCTCATGATTTTATAAACCTCTATAAGCTCACCCCCCAGACTCCGATGCTCCAGGGAAAATAGCCCCAGCCTACTTAGCCTCTCCCTGTAGCTCAAACCCTTCAACCCTGGCAACGTCCTTGTAAATCTTTTCTACACCCTTTCAAGTTTCACAACATCCTTCCTGTATCAGGGAGACCAGAACTGAACACAGTATTCTAAAAGTGGCCTAACCAATGTCCTGTACTGCTGCAACATGACTTCCCAACTCTTATACTCAATGCACTGACCAATAAGGGCAAGGGAGCCTTTCACTCCCATAAAGCTGGAAAGAGTCTGTGTTCAATTTTAACCCAAATGCTTTAAATTAAATCCTTTGTTATTTCTCGTCTGGTGTAGATGTGGAATGAATGACCCAGTGTGACAGTCAGGGGCTTTATAGACTGCATTGTATAGAAACTCTAGATGAAGTTTGGGATCTTTCGGCTAACTAACTAAGAATTTATTACACTGTGGAGAGTTGCTGAATGTACTAACTCTTATAAATGTGCCCATTTATTGTAAATTTATGTTTTAGCAATGAGTTTTATATGTTAATACAAATGTGCAAGTTAATAATATGACTTAAGTGGCTGTTAAATAGCTGAACAAGAATTGGGAAAGGTTATAAGCGATTATACCGTGAAAGATATGTTCCATCACCACTTGACATTAATGGCTGCTTGTCACATAAATGGGTTTCTCCTGCTTCAGTCTTTTTCCACTTGATCTTTCCTTTCCTCTCCTAAAGATTTTTATTCTTGCTACTATTTCAGAGGAAAACCATTCTGTGCGTAGACACGAACCCCACTATCAGTGGAATTTGAAGCCTAGGCTACTTCTAGCTGGACATTCAACACTGGGTGGAATCACACCAGATACCATCCCAACAGCTACCTGTACATTCGCACTAGTTCAATGGATAATGAGCCAGAAGGGAATGGAATGTGAATTTTCTCTTCCCAGACCCAAGGATGTTGTAACTCATTGGGTGATGATTCCCCACTTGATTGAGGAGTGATAACTCACTCCAAACCAGGGGTTGACCCTAGAACCCTATTTCTCTCTGTAGGTCATCAGGAAGGAGATTCAACCACAAGTCTTTGAAGAGCTCAGACAGTATTTCCCAACATTGCCCCCAGTTATCAATCTCATGTTTTAACCTCCTTATGGCCTCAAATATCTGTAACCTTGGAACAAAGAGAACAAAGAACACTACAGCACAGGAACAGGCCCTTTGGCCCTCCAAGCCTGTGCCAACACGTTTTGCCCTTCCATACTAAAACTGTCTTCACTTACAGGATCCATATCCCTCTATTCCCTTCCTATTCATGTATTCCCAAGTTCTGTTCTCTGGCCCTTTGTCCATATCCCTCTCTTTCCCTGACCAATGGAGGATGTATCTTCAATCTTTCCAGTGTAATGCTTCAGAACTCCCTCTTGGAACATCTCTCCATTGCCACCTTCTTCTTTAAAGTCCTCTTCAACACCACAGATTTGTCCAAGCTTTTAGTTCTCTGTCAGAGTATTTATTTCTTAGAATTACCATCCAATTTTGGGCATTGGGGCTTTATTTTAGCATTAAGCAGGCGATAAAATTGCAATTCCTGCTTGGCCCTTTTTATTAAAAGTCCAGCTCCTTGCTCCATTGTAGCCATTGCTTCAAGGTCATTCTAAGAGGGAGGGAGGAGCTGCATGGCTCATTCATTCTCTGACGGTCTGTTGCAATGGCTCTGGGGTTGCAATGTTGGCTTCAAGACACCTCTTCTTAATAACCTGAGGATCTGTTCTCGTGAGGACCCCTTTTTAATCAACTCCACCCCACCTCCTCCATTACAGAAATAACAGTAACAGAGTGCCACTGAAGACTAGCAAGTACAGCTGGCTGTTATGGAATGATTGTGGTTCACTTGGTTAAATGACAGCCTGTAACCTCACTCTCAGGTATCTATTTATCTCGATATGACTGCGGCACTGTACCATCTGGTGTGTGCAAATCAGGGGGATGAGATGTTCTCTGCTGGTGTACAATTACTATTAATTACTTCTGTATGTGTGTAATACTCTCTCAAATTTAATATGCTTGAAGTTCATGAGATAAATTTATACACACCAAACTTTAAAAAAAATTAATAATGCAAACACTAATTCATAATTAAAAAGAGTTAAGAAAGAAATTATATTCACCAAAGCAATGAGCATCTTTACTCAGAATTCCCTTCAGGGCAACATTAGCATTTCCAATGTTAAGGATACAGAACAACTGCAGAGGCGGAAATTTGAAAGATATCTACCAGGCAGCCACTGTCACCAATAAATGGTCTTTATAGTAAAATGGGTTGTTGCTAATGCAGAAGACATTGTCTTGTTCTGCTTTGCTGCTGGCTTGCTTGTAGATATAAAAATATTGCACCAATTAGCACAGGAACATTTAGTTCTGAATATCTCCGCTGACTGAGCTTATCTCTTTAACATCCTCCCGAGCCTTCACTCTGATCTCTGCTCCTATTCCCAGTTCTGACCAGGCTGCAGGGGCAGAGGTAGACAGCAGCTAACAAAAAGAGTGTGAAAGGGAGAGATTGGGCTGGGGAGGTGACTGGGAATGAGAGCAGAGGTAGCAACCTATGGCAACAGGGTTGGAATCTGGAAGCAGGGAAGGGAAATGTTATTTGCAAACTGATAGGATTGAGGGATCAAGTGGGAGAATGCAGATCTGGTCAGGGTTGCAATTCTAACGCTTATTTGGGTAATCATGAGAAATCTATAAAATGTTTATAAACTAAATTCGCCACACCTCCCAATGCCACAGGCATGAGAAAGATGACTGGGCCTTTATTTCAAGTATGTTTATTTTTCTTTCTGGCTTAATTCTTTGCAACTTGGGCTATGCCAACCATAGAGAAACTCAACCCTCCAAGTGCCAAATTGACAACCTGCCAGTGGAGGTTTAGCACTTTTGTAGAATTCAAGGATCAGAATATCAAGTAAAACTCAAGGTTATATTGTTTTAATTGGGTTTTCTCTCGCTGTATGGGAATCAGAGTAATATTTCCGCCCAATCAGCACTCTTTCGTTGGAGCAGAGGGAACTGTACAGAACTGAAGTTAGGTCAGTTTCCCACTGACCATTGGACTGTGAATGGAATATCTCTTCCAATTAATGTTCTGTCCACCAACTTCCCTGACAAAGATTTGCTGAGAAACCTGTTCAGCTTGCAGTAAATATCACAACCACATTCAGAATTAGAAAAAAGGCAAACAGGGTGATGGCACAGGTTTTTAATATAAAAACATGTTCATCAACAGCATCTTTAAAAAATCATGGGTGGTACAACTCTTTACTAGATATAAATGTAGAATACAGATACATATATCATATAAATATCTGTATTTTTATATAAAGACAGATATATAGATATATAGTACATTACACTTGCACAGAAATTTATCCAGGCCAGCCAGATACAACAAATATCAAACATGAATTAATTTTGAATTTGAAAGCTGTCCAACATATATCAACCATCCCCCCTCCCCCCGTCTTTCTATGAATTTCTGCTTATATATGTCTTATTTTCTGGTTTCATTAAACATCAAAGCTGTGTCTTAGTTGAGATGAGAGTGATAATGACGGTAGTTTCTCGAGTGACGGATCCTCTCTGGTGTACTGTGAAGTCCTCCAAATGCACCTATGATTGAACGCAAATCCCTTTGGATTGCAAAGACTTGCAACACTGATGGGAGAGACAAAAGAAAACAACAGCAACTCCTTCTGTGAACGTGGCTATGGTCCTGCCCTTGGGGCACTGGCATTGGCAGCAGTGAACCTTTCCACTCCCAGGTCCCCGTATTGTGGTAGTCTAAGGCACCGCTGCAGATGCATAGCGACACATCCGAGGTTTCCTGCCTGATCACTCCTTTGAAAGGTTTACCTCCATGCTAATGATAGCCCTGCATTAATGAAGGTCTGTTGTTGTAGTCCCGTGAGTGATGTTGAGCTCACACTGTGCTTTCCAACATCCATTCTGTGCTGCTGCAAGTGGTTCTCTTGCTCTCCAAGACAGTGTCATCAGAGTTCAAATTCTGCCCACTGCCAGTCAGATTTGCCTTAGTCCGTGCCCTCCTTGGGTAGCTGTGGCTCTGGAACAGAGAATAGTCTCCATCAAACGAATGTCTATGCTGAGCTCTCGAGATTTCGCAGGGCAGAACAGATACATTGCTTAGTTTAGCTTCCTTTTCCCTTCGAGGTAGAGTTACCTTGCACGGTCTAATCAAGCAAACCGACAAGCTGGAGTCAGTTGTGCTCCCCTCTGTCTGTCCCTCTTCAGAGGACAACTGAACTTCTTTCTGGGGGTCTACAATTGGCTTTGTCCTCCTGCATTGTGTGTGAGACAAAGTGTCTGCTGTCAGCACAGTAGCTTGAGGAAAATCACCCTTTTCCCGAGACATGTTCAATAGCACAGTCACCAAACCCTTGGACGATTCACCAAAAATCTCTTGAATGGACTCACCTGAACCTTCAGTGAGCTTTGAGCTTGACCGTGTCATTCCTCCATTCTGACCCCCATTGGTCTGTGAGCACATGTTGCTCACCACAGTCTTGTGTTCCCCAGTGTTATTGTAGACTTTATACCTGATCATAAGGATGATGATGAAGACCAGCACAGAGGCAACAATGATGCCACCAATGATGATGATCATGGTCCCACCAAGGAACTGGGTATGTACTGAATGACATTGGGTGTATTCTTGCTCTGTCGTGAATTGGACACAGCCCACCACTCTAGTGCCAGTCATTGAAGTAATTCCATCATCGTAGACTGCCAAAATACACAGGTCATAGTCCCTTCCCGGTGCCAGGTCATTCACCAAAAAGGTTTTGCTTGTAGATGGAATCATTCTAAAAGATACAAGACCTGCTGTTAGTAATTATCTATCACATACAGCATCGTATTTCTCACAGTGATGTCACCTGGGCATTTCAAAATCAATTTGAGCTTAGGGTTAATCTCCCCTGGATTTTTCTTTCACTTATGAAGATTCTAAGGAGCTGACGGTGGTCATGAAACTGGTTTATATCGCCTTCAAAAGAAAGAATGAATGAATTAGCTTTATTGTCACATGTACCGAGTGAAAAGTTTATAAGTTTCCACTTATAGCACCATCTTAGGTACAAAGGTACCCAGGTACAATCTTTAGTTACAGAATAGAGAAAGGAAGAAAAAGAAGTTATGTTACAGCTATACACAGTATAACCATAGGTTCAGAAAAACAACAAGCAAAATTAAATAGACAAACATCACAGTCTGTCTCCAAGGGATCTCCATAGCAGACCAGCGCAGTGGGGCCTCCTCATGGTCTGATTGCTGGCTGCCATTGACATTAGCTGACGTTAGTGAAATTGGAGGCAGAATAACTGCAGCAGGTCAGAACTTGCACTACACTAGCAAAGGGAAAACATTCAGTCACAAATCCCAACAGCTAGTCTCTATCCAACAATAACTGGATGGTATGGGGTAGGACTGGAGAAGGGGGTCAAAGTCTGGCTTCATCTTCGCTGTGACGATTTGCATTGCAAAGGCATTTGCTGGAATAGGTCTTGCTCCTGACACTGTCTAGGACTTTTGAGGCTGTAAATGGGTCAATTACTGTGGGAGAAAATTGGGACATGGAGAAAAATGTCAATGTGAAAAAGTAGGGAGATCAAAATTAGGGAGGGAGTCTTCCCAATTCCTCCTTTGTACCGGAACATTCCATGAACAGTCAGAATTGCCGAATTCTTAGAAAAAAATAATATTGTCAGAGGAATGGTTTGGGAGATTATAACTCCAAAGGTAAATATCTATAGGAGATGGGAAACATAGTGTAGTTTATATATTGCTATCATATACAACAATTGGTAGTGATTTTTACATTTCTCTGTTTGGGAAATTCCAATGCATTATTGGCACATTGTTGGATGTTCCTTACACCATTGACATGAACACTGGACATGCTGCAAATGTTGACACATTTCTGTGATTCCCTTATAAGTAGTAGGACATATTGGGACTCACTGCATCCCTTTCATGGGGAGCATAATTGCAGCATCATTAATGATTTAAAGACAACAGAGGTTTTGTTGCGGAAAACAGGTTCATTTGACTTCATCAGCTCACCCTAGAAGGCAAGGATTCTTCAGACACTATATGCACATTTCAAATCACAACTGAACCAGAGACATAGAAATTTGGCCTAACTTGCTTTTCAAAAGCTACATTGAATGCATGGTCCATACTTCTTGCATTATGTGATCAATACTTTTTGAAGTGTCATAGAATCATAGAATTCCTACAGTGCAGAAAGAAGCCATTTGGCCCATCGAGTCTGTGCCGATCCACCAAAGACAATCCCACTGGATCCCCATAACCCTGCATGGGGTTTTTACCATTAATAACCCACCTAATCTGCACATCCCTGGACACTACTGGGTAATTTAAAATGGCCAAACCACCTAACCTGCACATCTTTGTATCAGAGCTTTGTAAATGGTGTCTTTGTGTTTTACTCAAAGTTTGAGGTGGTTCCTAAGGCTTTTCCCTGACCAGGCCACCATGTAAACCATTTAATCTGAAACAGAGTCAGAGAATTCTAGCCAGTAGCTGCTCGCATTATCTATTTCATTATTGGAATGACCCAACTGCAAAATATCTGAGGATAGACATGCGATTGGGTCTTCACTCTACCCGTCATCATATCTTCACCCTCCTTCATACCTCAGGCTGTTAACATCTTCAGTGAGTACCCAACATAAACAACAGCTCCAAATTGCAAAGCACCAACATGCCATTCATCTCACTAAATGCCTGGAGTCTATTATATTGTCTCATTATTGAAGACCAGTCTGATCAATGTAATTGAACAATGCAAAGCAGTAGTTGATCCTTTTGAGCTAATTGATAATGTGACACCAATTCCCAGTGTAATGGGAAGATGTAGACACCAGCAGCTGCTCAGCATCTTTCCCCAATTGTGAAACTGTAATTTTCCAATATCGTCTCACAGTATTCCCTTTTATCCAATCACTTGTCAGGTCTAACACAAACATCTCAGTCAACAGAATGATATGGCTCACAGACCTTTAATGTTAACATTGTGGCCAAAACAAGATGGCCGCCCGTAGGTTGGTCAGTTTCATAGATTAATTGGAAATTAACTGCCTGAACAAATGCAACAAGGTTCAAACATGATTCAGTTACAAAAGAAAAAGCCTTTGTTCCCAGAAACCATGCATATTTGGAATAGTTTGCTTCTCTAAGATAGTCCATTTCCAGCTTTTCCCAATAGGTTGACCCCACAGCATAGTTAATCACCTTTTTCCATCTCCAAACGGATTGAACTTTATTCTTGTTTGTATTTAGCAGGTTGTTTTGGTGACAATATGTTTTATGATTGGTTTGTATCGTGATGGGAATGAGTGGAAAATTCTCAGGACATGTGACGGTGCTCTCCAGAAACCAATCAGAAGCTGCTAATCAAGTAGTTCAGAGGGATTGAGAGCCGTTGACAGGCAGAAAAATCAGGTGAAAATTCTTCATCAAGACAGTGCCTTTTGGAATGAAACCATCAACAGGCAAAGTCCCACTGGAAATGATTAAGGCCTAATCAGATCAGGTCCAATCAGTGTGCTCTAACTAACTAGGGAGTCACTTAATATTAACCATATCAGTTACACTGAATGCTTTTCAGAGTTCAAGTCTTTGGGAACTGAAACTGTTGAATTTGTGATGGCATAATGGTTTTCCAGAGCAAGGAGTTGACCCTGACTGAGTGTTGCAGACTGACATATTCCATGGTCCAGGACAACGTGCTGAGGGATGAACTAAAGCTTGGGGTAGGTGCTACCAAGGCGCAGTGCGGAAAGACCATCATGTAAGGACTTTCTGCTGAAGTTAATTGGACGTCCGTTCAGTTATCGGACCCTCCTAGTATCTCAAATGCATGTAAATATGGTATTGTATGTGTAAGAGATATCTTTGGTTTGTTTGGATAGAGCCATGCTCCAATGTTTGTTTGTTTCCTTAATATCCTACTGTACAGAATTGAACTGCATTTTTGACAATGTACATATACAAAGTTTTTTTAATGAATAAAGTATATTTTTGAAATTAAAAAAAACATATTCTTAGTCTCTCAGACAGGCTCCTGCTTCCCTGTTTACCCAGCTATGGGACCGGACCAGGGCAATAACAGTCACTGTGGACCCTGGTGCTGGTTCTAACTCTGCCTCAGATCCTTGCCCCAGCTCAGAGTGCACTAAGCCACTCCCACCCCAGCTCTCCAGTTATTGGGCCACAATTTCCTTCCCATCACTGCACCAGACCTTGCCTGTACCACTGGCTGAGGTCCTGGTGGGATTTGACCCTGGAATGATCTGGATCAGAGGTATGTCAACACCACCAGAGCCGCAAAGCCCCAGGACTTTTATGAGCCTATAACATCAAAGCAACAATCGAGACTGGAAACTCCCAAATATTGAACAGGGTAAGGAAGAGTGGAGACAGCTACAGACAGCAATCTGAGGTATGAGTTCACACATTGTCTGGTGCTGCTGCACTGTGCAGGTGAACACTCTGATAAACGTCAACCTCTATTGAAATAATAGTGGCTTCAATCAGAGTCATTTTACATCAAGAGTAAAGGGAGGTGATGGCCACATGGTCCAAACACTGCACTATAAATCCAGAGACCCAGGTTCGAATCCCATCATGGCAGATGGTGAAATTTGAATTCAGCTGATGGCCTTAATGACAGATATTACTGCTTGGGGGTTTGGGAGTGATAAATAGCACCTGGTGCCCTTTTAGAAAGAATCATAGAATCCCTGCAATGTGGAAACAGGCCATTCAGCCCATCAAGTCCACACCTATCTGGAAGCTGCCAGCCTTACCCAGGCTGGCCTACACTTGACTCCAGGCCCACAGCAACGCAGTTGATTCTCAACTACCCTCGGAACAATCAGGGACAGGCAATAACTGTTGCCTAGACAGTGACACCCAGATCCCGTGAATGAATAAACAAAAGGTGCACAAAGAATTATGGAAGTTACACCTGAGAGGAAGGCCATTCTGCCCATTGTCCCTGTGCCAGTGCTAGCTCTTCATTCGGACTAACAGAGGCAAATGGGGTAGCAGGAACTGCAGATGCTGGAGAATCTGAGATAACAAGGTGTAG